ATGTCACCGTTCAGGTCACCGATGGACTATTTGGACCCTTGGTATGAACCGTCCATGAGCCTGCATTTCCCTGGGCTAGGAGCTAATCGATAATCAGATCATTCATGATCCGGATGAGAAGATTCCGGCAGTTGATGATGACAAGATTCTCATGGTTGGTGACTTGTTCCATGAGTACGGAGGAAACGTAAGTCCACCAACCCACCTCTCACTCATCAACGACCTGAGTCTCACATCAATCACAGCTCCTCAATCAATACTTGAGTGCCACACCTCCCTGGGCGCCTACGAAGCCTGGCAGAGAGCCCCCGCCAGACAACGTCATCATCAACGGAAAGAACACCTTCAACTGCTCCAGCATCGCCGAGCACAGCGCAGGCACCGACAAGGCCGGCGACAAGGGCAGCGGCGAACACAACATGGCGGACATGGACATGACTGACATGAAGGACCACGACGGCCACAAGATGGGAGGTCACAGCTCAAAGCGAGACGACTCATCGAAGTGCACATGGGGCACCCTGCACAACACGCGCGTAAAGAGCGGCTCAAAGTCCCGTCTCCGCCTCATCAACCACGGCACTTCAACCCCGATCTTCGTCACCGTCGACAACCACACCATGGAGATTGTCGAAATCGACGGCGTCGAGGTCAACCCCATCGCCACCACCCGTGTGTACATGAACCCTGGCCAGCGCTACTCCGTTATCGTCAACGCCAACCAGACCGCTGGCAACTACCTCATCCGTGCGGACGCCGCTGTCAGGTGTTTCCACATGTCGCACAAGAACCATAAGTCCGGCATGCACGGTGCTCCGTTCGGGGCCACCGCAATCTTGTCGTACGACGAGACGGACATTAGCGTCCCGCCGATGGGCCAGGCCTGGAATCTAAAGGCCACTTCGAGCCCTGGCATCGGCAAGGAGCCTTGGGGCAGCCACTGCGAAGACTTGCCCTTCAACTTGCCCAAGCCGATGAGGAAGAGGACTGCGTACATTCCTGGAGACAGGAACTTCCATTACTTTACCTTCCGACAGGACAAGGTTGGGGATGTCGTGCGTACTCACGTCAATGATGTAAGTCACCATACGTGGAAACTTCGAACAGCGACTGACATTAGTAGACCCTCTTCACACCACTAAAGGATGACGCGACCTTATGGAAGGTCATGGGCCAGGACATGTCGCTGGAAAACCTGAACTCGCCGACCCCGAAGTTGGACTTCGGCAAGGATCAATTTGTTCTGTATTCCAAGGATGACAAGGCGGCCCAGATCGTGGTCAATTCTGATGCTATGATGGTACACCCTTGGCACTTGCAGTAAGTCAAGTCTTCTGAGATCTAACGATCGCAATGATTGTAGCTAATAAACCAACAGCGGTCAAAACTTCCAAATCGTCGGCTGGGGTCACGGCTTGTTCGGCCAGAGTGGAACGACATGGAACTTTGACAACCCAATGCGGCGAGATACCGTCACCATCCCTGGGTTTTCGCACATTGTCATACGCATCCTAGCAGACAACCCTGGTGTTTGGGCGTTCCATTGCCATTACCTCTGGCACGCCGAAGGTAGGTTCTATGATCATCGTTGGTCCCGAGTAATAGCTGCTAATTCGTATCCGTAGCTGGGATGTTCGTCTCTATTGCCCAGAGAATGGGCGAGCTCGGGACTTTGCTGGGATCACTTGATGCTGCTGGGAATGCCGAAGCTATTAAGAAGAAGTTCTGCCCTACACCGAATCCTCCAGCACCGCCGGCAGCGTCAACCCAGACGGCCAACCCGATCCAAGTCGGACGAGTATGAGTTGTCGTTGGGATGATGTAAACATATGACTGTGAACAAAGATAGAGGTACATATTTGACTACATGCATAGCGAAGAGACGTAAAGGTTCATCAATTCAGCCACCGAGCTCAGGCAATCGTCTATTCTGACCGTGCCCGAAAACCAATTGCAAAAACTGAGTCTAAAGGTAGGTCTACTGGTCTATCTCAGTCTGGATGACTTCTACTCAGCCCCGAACAGCGAAACCCTCCAGACCACCGTCGATCCATTTGTCAACAGCCTCCTCAAATGCCACTGTGCCCAGACTCCATCCCACCGTAGGTCCCTTCTTGTTCTCGGGGTTCTTTGTCTTGGTCGGGTCTCTGTAATCCGTAAAATATGTGGGAGTGCAAGATGCCACAGTAGCATACCACGGGCTGTATGGCTTCAGACTCTCGGTGTAGCGTTGTTCTGCCTCCTTGCTGACTTCCACCTCAAGCCGGCTAGCATCAGTAGCCTGCTCCACCGCCGTCTTCGCGATGTGCGCAACCGTCTTTGCTGCGATGGTAAGCGGGTATGTCGTGTTCGCCGAACCCGTGGCGCCCTTGGCTGTGTAAAACAGTAGGTTGGGAAAGTCGTGGGTGGCGACGCCGAAGAACGTTGCGAAGTCATCCGCTTTCCACTTGTCCGTCAAGCTGCGGCCACCGCGTCCCCGAAGAGACATGTCGAGGACCTGGGCGGGGTCTCCATCCACACCAGTCGTTGTTGCAAAGCCAGTAGCCAGCACGAGCACATCGACTTCATACTCTTTGGCCGATTCGCCCTTTCCAACTAAGATACCACGATCGGTGTAGCCGGAGATGCCCTGACCGTCGGTGTCGACAAGCGTGACGTTGGGGCGGTTGAAGGATTTCAGGTAGTCTTGGTGGAAAGTCGGACGCTTACACCAGCCAGGGTACCAGGCCTTGAGCTTCTCAGCTACCTCCGGATCGTCCACCTCGTGGTCGACGTGCTTCCGAAGATCAGTCGCAATTCCTGCATCTAGCTCCATCATCCGCTTCAGATGCTCAGGGACCTTGGCGGGCGTGATATCCTTCGCTCGGGGGCTGCCAATAAGCCCAGAGAATTGACGTGCACGGCTCCAGCCATCCTTGAGCAGATCATCCTCGGGAACCGCCTCGGGGTGATCGTTGAGGTACTTGTTTAAGTTTCTCACCCTCTTAGACTGCCAGCCCGGCTCTCCAGCAACCTTTTCCCAGCTCTCGGGAGTTGTTTCGACCTGTTTCCTGGGGCCGCAGTAGGACGGGGTACGCTGGAAGACGTAGAGTTGCTTTGCCCACTTGGCTAGCTCGGGGACCGCCTGGACTGCCGTGGCACCGGTGCCGATGATGCCGACCCTCTTGTCTTGCAAGTTTACCAAGTCGGGCTTGGACTGGGATCCGCCGGTGTATGCATAATTCCAACGAGCCGTGTGGAAGATTTCGCGATTCTTCATGAACCCCTCGAGGCCGGGAGCGTCAGGCGCGCTTGGGGAATAGAAGAGACCGCCAGCAGGCATAAGGAACTGAACACGAACGACAAAGTCGCCGCTCAGATCCTGGTGGTTCGGTCCCAAGTCGCGGCTCAGCTTGACATTCCATCGCTTCTGAGTTTCATCCCAGTCTGCACTTTTTGCTTTGGTGCAGAACATGCCCTGGATGCCGAACTTCTCGGCGATGCCCTCGACATTTTGACGAATCTCTTCGCCCTTGGAGTAGCGGTGCTTGGGCACAAATCCTGTCTCCTCGAGGAGCGGCAGGTAACAGTACCCCTCAACATCGCAGGTCAACCCCGGGTAACGATTCCAGTACCATGTGCCTCCGAAACCGCCGGCCCCATCTACGATGACGATTTCAGACGCCTTGAAGCCGGCAGCAATCAGATGGTAGGCGAACAAAATACCGTTGTGCCCTGCGCCGAGGATCAGAAAGCGAATCTCGGAACCGTCTCGTAACGGTGGGGTTTGCTTTGCGAGGTTGTCGTAATCGGCCCACGGGTCTTGATCGAGGTCGTTCATGAGGGCGCTGCTTCTGAATTTGAGGCGGCCTCCTTGTCCGGCCGAGATGGCGTTGAATCTTTTCTCGCGCTCGGCTTCATACTTGCTCGCAATCGCATCGATAGCAGCCATCTTGACAGATTTTCGTGGGTTCCGGTGAAGAGGGAATGTTATAGCGGTTGAGGATGCTGAATGAATGGCTTATGTATAGCCAGGTATTGAAGTAATCGATAATGAACCAGTCTTCAATTTTTCAACATGTAACTGGGCTCGCAATGTTTTATATGTGCTTTCCATCGTCAGTTTGATTACTCTTAGGAAGCCCCGGGACTTTGACATGAAGGCGAAACCTTCCCGACATGGACTTTGAACACGGTTCGTGATCACCACTTTCAAGGGCTCTCGACTTCCACGTCAACGGAACAGACCTAAGCCACTTACCTCGCGCAAACTGACGGAATTACTTGGAAAACCCGACATTTTATGGAGCGGTTCGTCGTCGTCGGAGTTTCGTTTGCTGGCCTGCCAATCAAGCATGTTGAAATGCCGAGAGGGGTACCCACTTCCGAATAACACGATACCATCTGTGCACGATGATTTCCTTTGAACATTGGCTTTCGCATTCGGTTCTAAATGTCGTGATTCGTGAGTTGAGTAATCAATTGATTACTATACAGAAGTTGAAGGCTTCTGAGGTATAAGAAAGAGTCTCAATCCTTCTCTGTCACTTCGTCGTCTCAATTGTTTGCATTCTCTCAGGATGAGTGGTCCCTCGGACAGTGTTTCTAGCGTGGCATCCTCACCCTGGGCCACCACTCCCTCAACCTACACAGACCATGTCGGAACGAGAGCAAATTATACCTAGAATTCAAATCAGACTTTTGCCATCGAAATTCGTCCCACTTGGGGCTTCAATTGAGTGGTTTTCGCGAGAGACCATAGACAGATAATGTCAAGAATTGACCCCGGCGCTCGCGGGCTTTATCCGGACTGGAGCGGCGCCGTTGTCCTATCACAATGTCCATGCCGCCGCACGTGTTATTGATACTAGGACCGGTCCCGCACGCCCGCGATCCTTCCGGTTTGACCGGACGTTACTGTATAAATACCACCGGTTAATTTCTTGACATTGGTAATTTCTAAAGGAAAAGCTCCCTTGTTGTCGTGTTTTCCCCAGGTCCACGGGTGCCCAAGACTCAAAATGTCGTCTTTCTCCAAAGTTGCTGCAGTTTTGTGTACTTTGACTTTTCAGTTGCCCAAAATATTCGCGGCTCGTCAATCTTACGATGTGAGGAAGATTATCGACGCTTTTCGTCACCCGCACGATGACCTCACCATCCTCTGCGCCCATAGAGGCTTGAAGTGAGATTCACCGCAGAGAAACCGATAAAATGACGTACTAATACTCTCCAGATGGAACGGGACTACCGAAAACTCTCGGGATGCTTATTTCCGAGCCACCGAAGCCGGGTTGGAATGCATTGAGACGGATATTCACCTCTCACTAGATGGCCACCTGCCCATGATCCACGATGGCGGGCTTGGCCGTACAACAGACGTTGGTGAGCAGACGGGACAACCAGCATACAACCCATTCACTGGTCAGGGGTATAACCCGCTTGTCAGCGAGCACAACTTCACGGGCTTCATCGAGAACCTTCACCTCCGAGACGAGCAGGGTAGAGTCCACGTGGAGACAGTTCCTACGCTGCCTGAGATGGTTCACAGCATCTACGAAACTGGAGCCAACGTCGTGCTGCAGCTTGACTTCAAGGAGCAAGCTGCAGTTGAGCCGGCGTATTGGGCTTTGAAGAATCTCACAAACCGCGCTGGGGTACCTGCGAACGATTGGTGCATCTACAAGTTGCAAGCAAAGTGGTGGAAGAACCCTGCGGAATTTGAGGCGTTGGAATGGGTTCAGGATGCGTTTGCTTCTGGCATTCAGCTTGCTTACATCCCCGTCTACAACCCTGAAGATGAAGCCTCATGGGATACTCTTACCTCACTTAAGGAGTTTGCCTCAACGAATTACACCATCAGCGCCGAGATTGAGGTGTATTCAACCGGTGCTCCTTTGCAGCCCCTCCAGGACTATATTGTCCATAATGGAACTGAACAAGATACCTTCAGAACATCTGGAATTTTGTAAGTTTGTCTCCTAGAGGGAGCATATAGATGGGCCCGAATGAACTAACGGAGCTCCAGTTACGCCGCTGGAGACCTGGTTGATTTCATCACCTCAGACCTTACGCGGTTCGACACAGCGAATTATACTATCCCAGACGACATTCACACCAACAACTCGGTGTTTGTCTTCCAGGAGAACAAGGCCCCAGCACTTCTCGACTCACTTGTGGGAAATAAGTCGCTCGATGGACATGACTACCGATCCGACTTTGACTGGATTATCAAGCAAGGCTTCCAGTGGGTTATTACTGACATTGCCGATGTCTGGGATGCCGAACTGCGCGCTCAGGGAAAGCGCAACACAAGCTACTTATTGAATGGCAATAAAAACGATAGGGCGAACGGTAGGTATCGTCGAAGACACACTCGCGAGTTCTCTAGGATATAAGAATGATGGATTTACGAGAAATGGTGGAGCGTTCTGAAGACTTCCCTAATAGGAGACTGGTCTAGTCTTTCCATTCGTTTGATTGCCTCTTGGTGTCATGGAGGGCATTTGTGGCCATTGGCTGCATGTAAAGATATTCTTTAATGGTCTTGTTTTTTAACAAAATTGATGTCAATGCGATGGGGGCTCTTCAAAATACTGTTGTCAAACAGATCCAAAGCCTTATCAGGGGAGGTCACAGCTTTCAGGCATTGCAGTTGGAGTAGCTGGGCAGACCTTCTGCTACAGGTAGCAATATCGCGCTGTAATTGGTCACCTAGCCGAATGACCCCACTGTTTCAAACAAATACCTTACCTTAATTACAGTGTCAACAACGAGATCCGCAGTTGCCGACGGGATCATCATGTTCATCCGACGCGCTCTCTTCCTATCAATGAGTGCAGACGAACCAGCCACACGACATTGAGTATGCCAAACTTCCGACGAAAATCATGTCATCAATGCAGATCTTCGAAATTGGCTTGTGATCGGAAGCAGCCGCGCTGCTCCCGGTGCGAGCGCCGAAGCTGGCCATGTCGCTATTCCCCCGTGTCGAAGACTCCACGGCCTCAAGCCGATAAGCCCCAGCATGGCCAAGAACCTTTCTTACATACACCCGGTCATGTCTCCGAAGAGACGGCATCGGACGATCCCATTATTGCGCCAACAAATGCGTTCAATCCAACGGAACTCAACCGCCCACAAGTACCCGGCGTGTTTGAGAACGTCGTCGCTGCCGATGATATCCAAGATTTCGGGTGGGCAGCTGAGTTGAATGATAACACTCCTTGGACTGGTGATGCCTTCTCTAGCTACACGAACATTCCTTCGGCAGCACCGAACATCAATATCAATCCAGATCTTGTGACCGATCTCATCGCCGACATCAACACCGAAATATCCAGGAGGGCAAATTTTGAGCCCTCCATGCTTGTGGACAACAGCCTCCTGCTCCGACCGCGGAAATGGCGAAGCGCAGAGTCTTCTATGACATCCAGAATGATGCGAGGAGACATTCTAACATATCCCGAAATGCTGATCAACGGCCTCAATCTGCCCCCCTTCATCAGTCCGCCATGCTGCGGCGACGAACGGCAGTGCCAAGAGTCCGGGTCTCACCAATGCCTCCCGCAACCTTTGGTAGCATGCGCAAGCATCATTCGAATGTGGCAAGCAAACAGCCCCGACAACAAGGCATTCATATGGAGGACCATCTACATGGAGCAACAGAAGCTCCTTCACGAAGTAAGTTGCCTTTGTCCTTCTTGCAATGACTCTCAGCATGTGCATACTCGTCACTGATTGCTAATTATGATGCCTATGAAGCATGAGTCTTACGAAAAGGAGACTCTGATAGCTGCTGTCCAGGCTGCTGTTTTATACACCATACTCCACATCGAAGAAGTCGCGTCGATTCCAAAACATTATGTTAGATCTCTTCTCATCACCGTGGGTGTAAGTTTCTCTCTTCAACTGATCGTCACTCATGTTGTCACTAACGTTCGTGATTGAAACGCGCAGACCATGACGTTCTCGATGATGAACGTCCGAGATATGGATTATTGTCACCAAACCGACGAAGTTCCTACTCGGCATGAGTGGATATGCAACCAAAGCATGTGGAGGTGAGAAACTCCTTCAATTCACTCCTATAGTTTCCCACTAACGTCCGTGTTCTGATAGAGTGACATCCTTCTGCTATGCACTGAATGAACTTCTCCATATTGCAAAAATCCCTTCTTCTGGTAATGGTGGCGGGCCATGCCGAAGAGTACACCTCCCCAGCACCCGCAGCCTTTGGACAGCCAAGTCGAATCTTGAGTGGCAGCGGCAGTACGCGAAGCAGCTTTCTAAACGACAACTCCGAGACTGTTACAGGATTGCGCACCTTCGGGAGTATGCCAAGTATTCAGGAGACTCCTCAGCAGTAAAGAGCTGGGCGACCGACCTTGATGATTGGTGCCTGGATCACGATGAGTTGGGCACGCTTATCTGGATGGCTACAAAGCTGGACCCCGTGTAAGGGTCTCAGTTCCACTCTTCAAATGGCATCCCAAACATACAATGTCTTGCGACACACTTGGATTTTGCTCGTCTGGAAAACAGGCGGACGTGTATATTTGCACAACGGTAAGGTTGTGGCGCGGAGACAAACATTCCTAATCCAGTAAGTCCGGACTCCGGGCGGGCACTCGGAGCTTGGTCCGGGCATAAGGACGGCAACGACGTCATAGAACAAGCGTCTGTGAACGGTTCTGGCAACGGCAAAGCAAAATAATATCAAACCCATTGATTGGTCAAGTCGGGCTTTTCGCACTTAAATTTTCCGACGCATGTAGAGTGGCTGACGTTAGAAGGACGCCTGGCCTGCGTAGGAGGGCTTCTGATTCGTCCCCAAATTCCATGATTACCGCTTGATGCTAGGCCAGGAACGCGCGGAGTTAAGTTTAATCGTTGGCCCGAAGCCGCTATGTATTACGATCGGAACGACGGTCTTAGGTTTTACGGTGCCTCCTCTCCATGGCGAGCAAAACGAAGCATAAATATAGATGAATCTCGTTCAAAGCCCCTAGGTTGTTTCCATCATATCAATCAAGCCTACGAGTAACGTTAACTTCCAAATAAATTTGACGACAAACAAATTCAGCGAGACCATGGCGCCGAAGAAAATCATCCTGATCACCGGTACGTAGCAGCGGAATTCTCTGGCTTGCAGACTAAGAAGTCATGCACTTTTCTGGACCATATGTTGACAGTCACAAAGGTGCTAATCAAGGCATTGGCTTCGAAAGCGCTGCAACAATTGCCGCCGCTTCAGCCGACTATCATGTCATCATTGGCTCCAGAAACCCGGAACGGGGCGCCAAGGCTCTCGAGGAACTCCAGGCCAAAAGCCCCGTCGGCACTCTCAGCTTGCTCGTCCTCGACATCACTTCAGATAAGTCCATCAAAGCAGCATCAGAGAAGATCGCCGCAGACTTTGGCGTGCTGGACGTCCTCATCAACAACGCCGGCATGATTGTCACGAATCCCAAAGACCGCCGTTCGGAGCTTGTTGAGACCTTCAATACCAACGCAGCGTCTCCGCTCGTCCTCACAGAGGCTCTGATACCTCTCTTGAAGAAATCGAACGATGCTCGCATAATCAATGTGTCGACCAGTCTATCTTCGCTGTCGGAACGGACAGACCCTACTTCTGAGTACTATATGGTCAGGAGCGAAGCGTACCGGATCTCCAAGGCGGCGTTGAACATGGCTACGGCTCACATTATGTTTGACAACAGAAGCTGGGGCGCGAAGGTGTGGGCGTATTGCCCGGGGTATGTAGTCACGAACCTGACCGGCGAAGAGGACCGCCAGACCAGACTTGACCAGGGCGCCGACGACCCGAAGACCAGCGCCCAGGGGCTGCTTGAGATTGTTGAAGGAAAAAGAGACGGTGAGGTCGGTACGTTCATAGGCAGAAACGGGTTACAGATTGAATGGTAGATACTTTGTGGGAATAAACACTTCTTTTACTGTACAGAAAGCTACACTTCTCATCATCTCATCGCTGTACTGAGATTTCTGTCGTTCGCATGATTCCTGTATTACTCTTATCCTCTCTCAGAATCATCTCTTCACTCCCAGACCCAGAGCCCCTCCCACCATGCTTCTCGTAGACAGTGTCATGAATGTTACCGACGGCAGCTTTGTGAGCATCCGGGGATCCAGCAAAAGGGCGGTCCTGCAACTCATACTCCGCTTGACTGTTGTGTTCTCTGTATCCGCGTCGCCGCATTGATGAATTGGTTCCTGTCGGTCGTCGGTTTTCGTATAGTTCTCCATGATAACGGTCGCTCGATGAAATCTTGAGGGCGTGGCCGACTAGAGGCTTCAGGGATGGGGCACACGCGGCGATGATACCAAGGTTGAGTTGGAGACTGTGCAAGTCAGCACGAAGTATCTACCTGGATGTATTTCAAAGACTCGGCAGTACTTACAACTCCCAGAATTGAATGCTTTGGTAGCTTTGGTACAGTCAGTGAGGGTCGTTCTTTCCAGCGCGACTTGGATCACTTACAAGGTCTTGTCTTGGTCCTTTCCGTAGGCGATCTGGTAGATTGACTTGATAACTCCCATGGCAACAGCACTACTTAGTGTCAGCGTACTTGATAAGATTCCGTCATTTGGTACGAAACCATCAGCTTACAAGTATCCAAGACTCAGCACAACTACCAAATAGATTCTTGTCCGAAGTTTCATCTGCAGAGTCCAGATGATCGTAACCGGTAGCGTTGCGAAGCAGACGTCGGTGAAGATATTGAAAGCAGTGTTGATAAGCCCGAACTTGATGAAGAGCGTGATTGGGTAGCACTTTGGTTGAATGACTTTGTTCCAGTATCCCTCCAGAGGCTGACAATAGAAGAAGAAAGTCATCCATGCCATGATGCTGTAGGCTGAGACAAATACTAAGGATTCTGGTCAGGTACCGAGTTGGAACATAGATCTGAGCTGGCAACATACCAATCAATGCCCACAAGGAGCGAGAGTACCAGACACTACGACTCAGTCGAAGTAGCGAGAGACCAATCGAGACTTTCAGGAGAGCCAGACCCGCAATCGAAGAGATGATAGATTGAAAGAAGCTCGATTTCCTCATGATGAGCATGTCTTCTGCGGCGATAGTGATCGTGTGTTTCCCGAGACCATGGAAGGATTGTACCGAAAAGATTGTCATGCCTGCAACGGCACACAGCTATTCTCAGGTCAATCAGACTACCTGTTATGGACAGTCATCCGAATCATGTCAGACTCACCACAGAAGCTACAACGACATAATCATCTCTCCCCATGAGCTTGACAACGAACATCCGGGTATACACTCGAAGGGCGACGAAAAGGAGAGCAAGCGCATGAAATCCCCCAGTAACGCCCAGAATCATGGCCGCATTGCTCTCCGCGGCCCACTCGGGGTCGATCGGCTTCGGCGGCGTGGCCGGTGGTGGATTCGAGGACATGATGGCCAAGGAAGTAGCGCACATGCGCCAATCAATCTAGCAGTAAATACACATGCAAAAACAAAGTTCAAGACCAATAGCTAGCGGATAGCATGACACGAGGTAATGAGCTGATTATATGTTCACTTCCTGACTGCGATCGTTTATTCTGTGGCCAACGAGAGGAATCACAACTGTGCAGACAACGTTGCAGAACAACTCGATTAGCCTGTTGCTAACCGAGTGGTGCGGGAGGCTGCTACCGATCTGGCCGCAGGACTTGTACTGCAGGGAGCCTCATGCGATCACATACGTCCCGTTCCTGGTTTCCGCAGACAACGGAATTTTCGAATTCTGGTTGCAGAGACCGTTTCACAGTCCACCTTCTTCGACGGAAAGAAGTCTCATAGGAACGGTTCACCGATGTGGCCAGGGGCAACATCATGCTTCCTGCAGGCGACTGCATTGAGAAAATGATTCCCGGTGGGATGGAAATATTTAAGCCAATCAACAGACCTGCGGCGTGACTAAAGAGGGTGTGCTGCGCGCCACAGTATTCTCGGAGCTTTCGCCTCCTGTATGGGGGTTGATTTGGTGTGTGCCGGTCATTTTCCACATCGGAGCACTAATGAGGCACGGGTGAAGTTTGACGACATCAAAGCAGTTCGCATATGCTTCCAGACTTATTTCTTCAGGGGAGCTATTAAAGATTCTCTCAAACATATTGAACAGTCTTTTTGTTACTCAAGTAGACAATTCGGTAGAGGGTATTCCCAGAAGTCTCGGTTTTACCAGTGCGGATTTGCACTGAGCGCAGTTACGTTATCGACCACAACACGACACCATGTCAAAACTTGGAAAGCCATGGATACAAATCACTTCACTTACCAAGAGAGTCTAATTTCTTCATTTCGTCTGTCAACTTTTCCTCCTTGGCTGCAGTATCCCATCGGTCACTCAATGACGAACTGAGAATGGTGACCGAGACTAATCCCTGTCAGCCAAGTACAGCTTCTTGCGCGTTGAGAACCGAGCCTGTCGCAATGAACGTTCTAGACAATGGGCTTTCGGACTTTCGGCCCCCTAAACAGCACGATTTGCCATCGCCAGCCACACATGACAACCATGGTGGTGAGGAGGTTTGACTTGGCAAGTACCTAGGCAAAGAAGCATACAAGGGCCATGGGCTCCACCATATCGTCCAAATTAGGCAAGTCAAGCCAAATTGTGGTGATCCTTTCCCATACCCTTACGTCTCTGCAAAACGTTTATGCTTGTGATTATCGTGTGGATAGTAGGCATTTAGCCAGGGTTACAGCGACGACGTCTTGGAAGCCAGGGGTAAACAAGAGAAAAAGCAAAAACATTCGTCGACGTTCTTCATTGCCCAGAGGCCGTAGCCGCAGCCACTCGACCCTGGTATATGCTCTGCAGAGACCCATGCCGTGGTGGTGTGATGCGGGCCGACGTAGGGCATGTTCCCCGTCCCCTCCACTGATGCTAGCAGACGTTGGGTGACAGCTGGTGGAGCTCCTGCATGGCTTGGCGGGATGGAACCAACACAATGTCACATTTCAAACGAGATGGACGCCGACTTTGTCATTCTCGCTTCCCCTCCTTCAAATTTCCGTCGGGTTGGCGTTCCCCGAAGAGGTTCGACGAGCTGGCTAGCAATGTGCTGCGCCGTAGCGAGCGGCGAGCGGCGGAGGAAACCACGCGGCCTGCGGCACACAATCCTTCTACGCCCCCAAGTGACACACATCAAAAGCGTGCAGCGTCCACGGCAATCTTGCCCACAGCGCGGAAGTTGGCTCGGTACTTGGTAAGGTCGATTGTCGTGAGCAATTTTGTGGAGGTTGTTTGCTTGTCAAGAAATTCTTTAGTTTAGACTCATACATAAGGTTGCGGATACTCCTCATGTAGGGCTGAAGGATAGACTCCTTTCACCCATGGTCTGCCAGTGTCTCCTCAAAAGCCATCTGTCCAAGCGTCCTGGGAATGCCTGCTTCTCGCAGACGTCCATCCCATTCACCGAATGGTCATTCGATCGGATCTTGTCCTCACAGTCTCCACCAGCCGGCCGCGCGGGCTCTTGACCATGGTTCAAGGATCTTAGCCAGGACGATTTTCCCGTCTGGGATGTCACCACCGAGGGGCCGAGAGGCTCGAGCCTCTCCCCCTCATATGAGCTCTACTAACCTCTCCCACATGCAGACTGTTGACCAACAACTGAGTAACTACCCGGAGCTTAGCAAAAGGTGGCGATGGACTCGTTCGCCAAGCTAAGCTATTGCCAGCAATATTGAAATTAAATTCGGCAGTGATGAAGCGGCACTTTCTTATTACGCTCTCACATTGTATATAGAGGTCCTTTCGAAGTGCCCCATTGCCACGTTTTTCCGTTCCTTTTTCTCACCCTCCCTCCTCACGCCCGCTTCCCTCTGCAGATCTTTTCCTGTTTTTTCCTGACGCTGCCGTGTTTTTCGTGCATACAGAGGCCCCTTTCATCAAAGTTCTAGCAACTCCTCTACAAAGACACACAGCATGCACGCCGCCAAGCTCCTAGCTGCACTCGGCCTATCGGCCTTGGCTTCCGGCGCGCCCCTCGAAACGCCTCTCCACGCTCGTGACGCTGGAGATGTCCTCGCAGAGCTGCAGGCTCAGGCTATGGAAAACCTGAAGACAGCCGAGGCCAACGGGACTTTATCTAAGCGTGGAAGCTGCAACCTGATGAATGCTCAAGTGCGCAGAGACTGGTGAGTTTCCGCCCAAGACGGTCCACTTTGCGACTGTAATTGTGAGCTTACAAGTTACCTTGGAATAACAGGGCCGCTTTCTCCGCACAAGAGCGTAAGGAGTACATCAGTGCGGTTCAGTGCATGTTGACTTCGCCGTCGAAGTCAGACTCTTCTTTCGCCCCAGGCGCCCGCAACAGATATGACGACTTTGTTGCCGTTCATATCAACCAGACTCGCACCATCCATGGCACTGTATGTTGGCTATCTAAACGAGTCAGGTCCAACAACTAATTTGACAATTTCAGGGCAATTTCTTGACCTGGCACAGGTACTTTACTTGGGCTTACGAGAATGCTTTGAAGACTGAATGTAGCTACAAGGGCGCCCAGCCTGTAAGTCGATGACACCTGAGATTCCATGCTTTTTCGCTAATAAGACAATTTAGTACTGGAATTGGTTTGCCAATACCGATGATCCTCGCAAGTCTCCAGTGTATGATGGAAGCGATACCAGCTTGAGCGGCGACGGCGAATACGTCCCTCATAACGGCAGCGTCAGCCGTGCCCCCAACGGAAACATCGAGGTCCCCTCCGGATATGGAGGCGGTTGTGTCATGAGCGGCCCGCTCGTCAAGTAAGACACCACTTCGTCATCACCACTTGACCTCAGACATGGAGCAAAGCCTAACAATGCCATAGCATGACTGTGCATCTTGGTCCCGTCTCCCCAGGCATGGATGGCCTCGAAGTCAACCCTAACGGCCCCATGGAGTACAACCCCCGCTGTCTTCGCCGCGATCTTAGCGCCTATTCCGCCTCCACGTGGATGACGACGGACAATCTTGTCAACGTGACTATGGGTCAGGCTTCCAAGAACATATCGACGTTCCAGAACGAGTTGCAGGGCCGCTTCGGTGATGGTTTCCTTGGGATGCATGCCGCTGGTCACTTCGTTGCGAACGGAGATGCTAGCGACCTGTACTCCTCACCCACCGATCCCACGTTTTTCCTTCATCACGCCATGGTTGACCGTGTCTACTGGCTCTGGCAAGCGATGCACTTGTGGGAGGCGTTTGAGATTGCCGGTACCATCACCATCCAGAACCTGCCCCCTAGCCGTGATGCTACCAAGGATGACCTGGTCCTCATGGGTGTCCTTGCTGAGGATCGTCCTATCAAGGACCTTCTGAACACTATTGATAGCACTCCATTCTGCTATATCTATGCATAAAGTCAGCATTACCGTCACTTGAGGGTCTGGACACTAAGATAATTGCATATTTTATCACATAAAAATAACATCATTCCATTGTAATACTGAGCAGAAGATTATTCCAAATGCAATGACGCATGCTCAGTTTGTTGACGCCCGTAATCTTACTCCCTAACAAGTTCCCATAGCCAGTCCTTTGGAATGCCTCTTCATGCAACCAGTCTCGTTTGTTGATTACCCCGTTCAGTCATCATTATCAATCACGTGTTCATGCAGTCCTATCTGGGTCATCATGTCCACTCAGATGCGGGGAGCACTCGCAACTCCGATTGATCACAATACGTCCAATAACGAAGACGAAATCCCCCTACGAAGCACTCGATCCGGAAGACAAGCAGATCCGACTAATAAGAGTCGATTCGGGCCTTGAAACAGCGCAGATCACAGTCACTCTCAAAATCGCGAGTCTTAAGGACGAGCCGTCGTTTGCGGCGCTATCATACGTTTGGGGCGACCCAACTATCACTGAAGAGATCTCAGTCAACGGTCACACGAGCCGCGTCACGAACAATCTGGCCGCCACATTGCGCCACATATTCAAGCAACAGGAAGTCATCACCAACGCTCAACAGCCGCAATTAGGGCGTACTGTGCAGCCTATCTCACGCCTCTGGGCCGATGCACTCTGTATCAATCAGAATGACATCGAGGAACGCAATCAGCAAGTCGCCATGATGGGCGAGCTCTGCTCCTCGGCATCTGTGGTTGTGTCGTGGCTGTCTTCCGTGGACGGCGATCTGCCCTTCACCTTCCAGACGCTCGACGGCATATTTCGCGAAGTTGAGATTGAAAATAGTGGCGAATTTGAAGCTGTGGTTTCTCGTCCACAATGGGTGCGTAAGTATGCTGTCTTCGTCCGGCCACGGATGGACGATTGGGTACGTGGTTTCAAGAACTTGGCTGAGCAACCGTACTGGAGACGAGTCTGGATCTTCCAGGAGGTGGTCTTATCGAAAAACCTCGTGTATCTCTGCCCGTCAGGCGCAATTCATCGAACCGTGCTTGGGAAGAGCGTTCGCTATCTATTACGCTTAGCAGAGGCATCGCCAACACTGGACAACAAAGGATTCGAGGTTGCATTGGCGATGCTAGGGATGTACACGCCGGACTTCAGCTGGTTACTGTCCAAGGCATCCGCTGCGAGTTCCCCCGGACTGACCCGAGTAAACAATAACGTTTCAGCTCGGATCGAGACCTCCGTGTCTGGTTTTATCCACGACGCAACGAACCCGAGAGATCATGTCTATGGCATGCTCGGGGTGGCCGCATTGGATATATGTCCCGATTACAAGAAGAGTCTGGTTGAAGTTCTGGAAGACTACGTGCGAGCCGTCATTTCCGAAAGAGAAGCCCAACCGGAAGAATGCTATCTTGCTTTCCTAAGGCGGGTACCGAGAGGCCTTCGGCAGCGTGTCGGACTATGGGACGTGCCAACCTGGGCGCCTTGCCACGGAGTCGAGTATCGATCACGACCCAGAGCGCACAACTTTACAGCTAGGGGCCTATCTTTTAGTCGTACGCCAACTAAAACTAGCTCGAGTAGCAAAATTACGTCTGAGGGGCACCTGAGGCTCCTTGGATGCCGTGTTCAATCTATCACAAGGATAATCGACGCACCAAACAATATCCCAAATGATCAGGCAGGCCGTCTTCTACATCTCTTTGATGACCTGTTACAGCGACTCGGCGACACCTACGTAACAGGAATATCGACAGTGCAAGCTCTCGCACAAACGCTGTTCCGCGAAACGGAAGGAGAAATGGACATTCAGCCACTTTTGGCCCGCGTAAGAAGATACGACGATGGCGTTCCACCTAAAGGCACGCTCTTGGAACAAGACGATCGATGGACCACAAACTCAAAGCAACTTGGGTCGTTACCGCAAAGTAGCTTTCCTACTCTGCGAGAGCACCTAGAGCGCATTGCTTTCCGGCTGCCAGCAGGAAAGACGGAAGTTAGCGGTGCGTCAGGGATGGAAGAATTGCTAAGGGACTTTGCAGGAAATTGGTGGCCACTTCTAGAGACGCATCTGAAAGTATCCCAGGAGACAATGCTGTTCGAATCGGGTGATGGATATCTTGGGCTTGGGCCTGGGGAGCTGGATCTGGGTGATTTGATTTGCGTTCTCGATGGATGCCAGTCACCAATGGTGCTAAGGAAAGCCGGAAAAGTCAGTAATGACCTCACCTATTGCATAGTCGGCCCTTGCACTGTGCCTGGTCTTATGCAAGGAGAAATCAAAGGTCTTCTGGAGGCAGGGGTGACAACAGTTGCCATGTTTGACTTGAGTTGATGATATCCACAGTGGGCCTATCGAAAATGACAGTAGTGGTAGCGATAATAAGGACGAGGATGAGGATAACTATAACGATGATAACGACGAGGATAGAAGTAACGACGATAATAAATAACGATTAAGACGACGAAGACACCGACGGTAATGTGATTAGAATATAGCCACAGGACGACATCACGTCCGAATTAGCTCAGGCAAAAGACACGGACCCAAGTTTGTTTCTGGCAGCTGTCAAAGACGCCATGCAGAGGCCAACTCTAGCCTGTAATCAGAGTGCACTGATGCCGGGCGCTAAGCTAGAATCATGGAACCGCTGACCGGTACATGCTATCCAGCTCAGGGCTTCTGTTGGATTCGGATTACAAAGAGGAAGACTACAATGGCTTAGAAACGAAAGACGCTTTTCCCAGTGAGATCTATCAGGCTTTAGATCAATTATTTAATCGGTATAAGAGACAGGCAACATCGAGCATTAACAACGAACCAAATGAATGCAGTATTACAAAATTGGGATTCCACTCAGCCTGCAGGCATGATTTTGGTTGGTTGCCAGCCCGAACTGATGGTCTTTGCTCGGTAACCATAGTGACTCGAAGGTCCCTGAAGAAAAAGACACTGGGGAATCGCAGTTTGATAGCTGCAAGAGCGGCAAGTTGGGCCAAGAATCCAGGTCAATCCCAGTTGATGCCGACGCGTCTGCACGCAACCAAGGTGATGAAGATGACCGGCAGGTCTCCAGCAGAAGAGCCGATAAATGAGGCGCAGCAAGATGATGATGAAGTGAGAGGCCTAAGAAAACTTGGAAATCCCCACTTTAGGCTTCACCGTTTCAATCGTGAACTCTTCAGCCATCCCTCTAGGCGTGTAGCCAAGCACCGAGAACACCAAGAGCAGAAGTCCAGCTCACTGCTGACGCCGTCGAAGAGCCACCGCGGTATCGATCGCACCCAATAAACCCCGAGCTGGTACCTGCGCATGACCCCTGCAAGGTGACCTGGTCAGTGGATCGAGCGGTTCGCTGTTCTCTGTTCTGACAATCCACAAATGACTCCGTTGTGGACCCCCTTTTTTCCAAGCTTCCCAGCCTCTTTTTATCCACAGCTTTCGCCGCCGCCGACACGCGCAATTCCCCAGATGACGTTCGACGAAGAATTCCACATGCAGACATGACAGGTTCCATCTGAGCCATCGGAGACATCTATTGTCGACAGCTAGAACCTTGTTCACCTCACCGACTGGTCTTTTAACATGAGCACGCCCTGTCTCACTTCATAATGGGCGGAGTCATACTGAGCCCTTCCGCGATGCCGGCGTCGACCGGGCTGTCTGAGGCTCCCGCGCCGACGCCCGCCGGCGACATCAACTTTGGACGATTATTCCAACGCGATGAAGACACGGCGCAGATTCTCATCACGCAAACCGTCACACGATCGTGGACCACCTACGTCACCGTCGAAACCCTCCACGGCGGCCTCCCAGCAGAACCGACCGCCCGGTCGTCATCAGGCCTTTCCGGGAAGCAGCTCGGCATCATCCTCGGATCCGTGCTCGGAGGAGTCTTGGTTCTTAGTCTCATCGGCTGCTATTTCCTCTGCAGAAGATGGAAGTACTGGCATAAGGGCCGCATCCCCAGATCGCACACAACATCACCTTACGCCCGGACAAAACCGAAGTTCCGGTTCGGCCTAAGTACTTCTCCCATATTCAACAGCCTTCTTGAGGTTTCACTAACGTCCAGTAGCTTCTTCACGCCTGAATCTGGCATCTGTATTTACTCCTGGTACCCGCCAGAACCCTCGTTCTCGTTCAACCTCGCCGTCTTCCCTTTCTTCGGCTCCTCCCGTGCCTCCGCCGGCGAAGCCACCTCCCGCTTATTCTGGCGGCTTCAAGGGCTGGTTCGGAGGCGGTGCAAAGCCGGATGAGAAGAGAGGTGGAGGAAGCTCCGTCACGAGTAGCAGCGTCTCTTAAAGGAACGGAGATACAGAGGCAGGCCCGCCTGAAGATTGGTCAACTGGGCGGCAGCATAGATTCTCATGGTAAGTTTTGGCTCTGTGGTGCAACAGCATGGCCATCATTCTGACCAACCCCGACGCGAAAACAGAAGCGACAAATGATTTATGTAAACGTATTATGGAGTTTGGGTTAAGATCTCGGTTATGACTAAAAGAATTCTCAAGACGCATCAACTTCATCTGTTTCATCGCATTACATTACCCAGAAAGAGTTCGGAATACGAGATAGATTGAATAGGATGTCTCCCACGTATGGGAACATGGAAAGACTAATCAAATTGATATCGCATTACCCTATCCTGCACTGCCTCCATGCCGGCCAGATGCTCACTAATGACTTCATCTCTCACCCTCGTCGCCTCTTCCATGCCCATAGGCCATTCTCCGACCTCCGTCATGATCCGATTGATGATCTCCTGCGGGACGTGATGACCTGCCCAGTCGATCTTTGCCGGTCCCTCCTCCACCCACCAGCCGTGCTGTTGCGGCGGTACATTGCGCGTAGAACAAATGCGGTAGTGGGGATCGACCAGATGCACCGTCAAACAACGACGGCGGCCCGGACGCGAGCGGTCCAGCAGCTCGTACGCCTCTACACGGTGCTGCAAGGTGTTGGGGTAAGCCACCAGTCGGCCATCAGGGGCGACGATAGTGCCGAGCTCCTGCAGCGCGTTGGGTTCCTCACTGTCGCTATGGAGTTGGCCAGGACCAGCAAGACCATGGATCCCCGCCAGCGGTGCAAGATCTCCTGGCGTGTAGACATGTGCGTCCGCGTCTAGGTCCGCCTCGACCCTGAAAGAAATGGCACCAGAGGTTTCGGTTGTGTTGACGCTGTCAAAATACACTAGCGAAGTCGCCACAATGTGCTCGTTCCCCATTCCATTGAGGCGCCAATTTATAGGCGGCCTTATGTTCGTGATTAGCGAAAGTCACCTTGCAGATTTCGGGATATTTGTTGTAATTTGATCACTTACTGAACGGGGTTTTCCGGTGTCAGTTCGACGGTTAAAAGTTCAACAATAACTTGCAGACCCTGTTTGAGAAACCGATCCTTCAGCGAAACAGCGTAGAAGTGGTGGTCTGGCCCAGGTTCCAGCGGAGAGAGTCCCGGCACGAATTTCGTTAATGCTTTTCTTGTCATTCGGCCTCCCACAAGAGCTTTTCCAGTCTTTCCTTGCCTCCAGTCACCGTATGTGAAGGAAATGCCCGGCTCAGGGTGGAGCCAATGTTTGAGGCGTTCATGTTTGACACGGACAGCCCAGGCCAGGCCAAGATCTTCCCAGTCTTCTTCAATGATCGGAAGTCCGACTCGGGAGGTTATGTTCTGCTGCAATGCGGGAGGTAGCTCCGGGACAGTAAGATACTCTTCCACTTTTCTCTTCGCCTCTCTATACTCCTCAGTCGTCCTATCCTTCTCGATCTTGTTCAGGCCGGCAGCCCAGTCTGGAAAAGGAGGCCACCAAACCACACCAGATGTTTTGATGCGACTGGGGCATAGCCCACGATCACGATAGGCAAGCACATCATTCCAAGGCTGGATGGATAATGAGATGAATTGTTCGATGGTGCTGTAGAGGCTCTTGTGGGCCCCTGGGTACAGGTTGTTGATGTATGAAGTGATCTTGACGTTTGGACACCTATCAGAATGTGTGTTGGCTTCAGAGAAGTCGACTTCACATGGAAGCCATTGGAAGCGGTCCGAAAAGCGTTCCGTATGAGTCTCCCATGAGTTGAGCCATTGGCGGCGATGGTTTCGCATATTCTCCTGTCTCTTCGAGGTGGTCAGGGGCTCAAGCAGTTGGCGACTGGCTGTTTCGCCTTTTCCAACGCTGTCGATGGCATGTTCCGAATCGACCTGACCGCCCTGTGAAAGAACTTTGGTTTGACCATATACCAAGGGAAACATGTTCGGGTCGACTCCAAACGGGCAATCGTGCCAGACTGAACCGGTTCGTAGCCTGAGTTCTTCCAAAAGGGAGGACGAAACCAGCCCATCTGACTTGCATACCCGCGATGCCGTGTTGAGGACACATACATGTCCGCGCTCGTTGGTATATTTCGCCATGTCTTGAAGTTCGAGAAGACACCAGTCCCAGGCGAGAGGGCTCATCAAGGGGCGAGCCAAAGCCTCTGTCCGCCACGAAGCCACCTTGACATCATCGAACACGTCCTTGAACCAGCCCGACTTATCAGTAATGTCGTTGATAAGAGATATCATGGCTATTTCCCGGGTGGTCAGGCGGTCTTGGGACCAATCGTTGAATCCATGAGCGAACCGCTCATCGTGGCTGCGCTCGATTGATACAGCTAGGGGAAAGCCAGGAACGTTCAAAGAACCGTTGCCTGTGTTATCGAATTCAACGCCGGCTTCGCCATCGCCATACATCTTGAGGTAATGGTCGCTTGCGCGGGTCTTTGCAGCTGACATGGCACCCAGGGCGGGTGGCAAACGAAGTGTGCTCGAGGTTGAGGTAGAGGAAAGTAGGCAGGGTTGGCTCGTAGAAAAACCTGGGAATCGACTGCTATTATGCCGAATATCAAGATGGTCTGTGCGTTGACAATGGCTTTCCAATCGTGACTTCGGCACTTTTGCCGGGGAGCATCCAGATTGATTAAATGACGTACGTGTCAACCTACCCAACGCGAATTAGATGTAAACAATGTACGATCCAATAGCTACGTCGAAACCCTTTGAAGTCCCGGCAAATTTCATTTGACATGGCAAATTCTCAAATAATTACTAGCCACTATGGGTCTGCCGATCTCAGAGGTCAACAGTGACGATGATACAATCAGACTAAACCCTAACCCCGCCTTCTCCTTAATCGTCATCCATGGATCGCAAGCCAACTGCTCAAGATTTCCGCAATAAACAGAAGACCTCAGCAACTAGTATCGACGCCGTTCACACGATCCATGTGGTTTTTCACAGCATCAATGAGCCCTCGATGGTTGTCAGGGTCCTCACTCTCGTACTCACTAATCAGATTAGTCGCCTGATCTAAGATTTCCTGCACAGCAACAAAGTCATTCCCATGTTTCGCCATGAGATTGTCCTCCATAGTGTCGAACTTGACAGTGATATGTTTGTTAGCAGGAAGCCTTTGTGGACATGACAGACATAGGACATTGAAGCAGAACCTACATCGATGCCTTCGTACTCCCTCCCGAGTGGTGACGTTTCCGTTTGGGTCTCAAAATCAACGCCCAAAGCTTTTGCAATCTCGTCACCATTGTTGGCAACGATGCCTACCATGTTGTCGGCCTTGCGCTCTTCATACACTCCCGAGATGGCCTCCCGAGCTCGATCAAGTTCTGCCGTTGCTCCCTTTGACCTTGACCATTGCACCGAGTCAGTCACTTTCTTGGTTACTTTATAGTAAGCAGTGTTGTATACTGTCAAATCTTTGACGAGGGACGGCGATATTGAACAATTTGTGGTCTTGGCGTGAGATTGATGGTCCTCGAAGACAGCCTGATTGCTATGTGACTAGAATATCTTAGAAGACTTCCTTCCACCTTGATGACTCTGAAATGAGCACGCTTTCGTTTGCGCGCGCGTGTGTGTTTGTATCTATTATTACATGTATCTGTGGTGCCTCAGTTCCAAGTGAAAGACGTTCTGGCGTCATAGCCGCCTGCCTTGAATCTTCTTCCATGGAACGCCCGTCTGGGATTATCGCACGTATTGTGCGCTGGAAGGCATCAAGGTACAATCGACCTTAAAACCGACATATTCTGCAAAGACGCGTTTGCGCAGGTGATAGTTTGGACGCGACAGCGCAAAAACTTGATGCCGGTTAGTGCTTATGGATACAGTATTGGAATAATGATGAACGCACCTGTTGATTTTCTCGAGAGCGCCTTCAATGATATTTGACGTTCGGTAAGAGCCTTCTGTCGATTTCAATTCCTCCTGATGAAGGATCTATCTGATACTTGATGGAATCCTTCCCATCGGCTTGAGTAGGGCTCATGGACAGTTTGACGGGCCGCTTAAGCTCTCCGGATAGGGATGCCCCGCGCAAGCTATCCAGATCTAGCCGCTCAATGCCCGATAGAATCGATATCAGACCGAATCCCTTGTCCAAGGGGACTGTGTAAAATACTGCAATCATTATAAGGAAGATTAGGAGCAGAAATGGCTGGATTACCAAGACCAGGTAGAGCCAGGGAGATTTCCGTAGTGTTGGCCGGTTGTAGATAATAATTGTCCGGTCATCTTCGTCGACGGGATAAACAATACCAGCCTCTTCAAGAGGAATGGTTCCGTTACTCGACAGCCAGCCTTCCGAACTTTTGTTGAATGTTTCAGGGTCGAAAGAGGTCGCCTGCTTTGATACGCTTGCTGACCACAGCATGGTAGCCACGGAGACCGACATGTATGGCATCATCCAATCAGACTCATTGCTTCGATAATCGTTCGTGGGAGGAGACGGGCAGAAGGTTCTCAGCATCTCGATCAAAACGCTCATGTACCACGTTGGAAGTGCTGCATGTTGCCACTGAATTACCTGCTGCTTGGCCCACGGCAGGGTATTGTTATCACAAGAACCCTCGAGAAGTCGAAAGCCACCTCGGCTAACGGACCACGTACCCAAACATTGCTGTCGGTAGATATTGTAGGCGTGAATAAGTGGCGCGTTTTGCTTGCACTCTTTATGATTGCCCGGTGATAGACCAATATACTGCAATGATTGATCCGAATGGTCTTTTCTATCCGCCAAGGCGAGGAAGCACCCCGGTTCCCCCATGAGTAAGTCTTGACGTTCAAAATACCAAGTCTTGTTGTTGATGCAGACTGGCTCGAAGTCCTCTTCGGTGGATGATTCGTTGAAGGTAGCGACGGTACCGAGCACAGGCGCAGTGATGTTCCAAGACTCGTCAGGAGCAAGCAACTCCTGTATTTTAAGGATGTAATTGGCGGGGAGAATGTCGAGTGATGCGGCGCTGGATTCGTCAAGCAATAGGAGGTTGTAACCGTAAGCTTGCGGGAAAGTGGGCAGCCGAGGTTCGGAGAGATTTGCCGCTCGTTCAGTTGCATCTCGAAATGAGGCGGCCGCGTTGAAAAAAAAAGAAACACCCCTGTTTGATGTTGACATGGCTGGTGGTCTAAAAAGACCAAAGTACGTGCCGTGGGGAATGTAGTCGGTAGTATGAATCTTCATGCTGCTCTCGCCGCCTGTAAAGGTTTTGTACGCTACGCTGAGGCCGACGGGAAGGGCCAGCATAATAGCAAGGACCATGCGCCAGGCAAAGCTAAGCTTGGATGCCAGAGGTTTGTTGCGAAGAATCCCATCGTAGTTCTGTAGCGTGGAATTTCCAACACGGGCTTCGAGAAGTAAAAAAAATGTCGGTGTGACACCGGCTAGGCACTGGTTCATGATGTTGAGAAGCAACCCAATGACGATGAGCTGGCGGTTATCGACACCCAGATACCATGAAATACGGCGGTTTGAGACTACCAAGATGGACAGCACCAGACAAGCCAGAGCTACAAAAGCCATCGCAATTTCCATACTATGGAACATCTTCTTCCGAGATGGCTTGCCGAGCAGAGTGTCTTCTGAGGGCTGGTCAGTAGGCGATTCGGATGCTGTTGATGCCCTCGTGTGGCCGTTGACATTGGTCGGCAGCTCATACTGAGAGTCATCGTCTAGGGATGAATAACGACGAGAGTTTTGAAGTATCGAAGTCATATCGAAGAGAGAGAAAGCACGTCAAACGTCAAAACACTCTCATGAGATAAAATCTGGGACGCTGCATCATCCTTATGAAGGGCGAGCAACGTCCACAGTGCCTCGCATCTTGGTTTTCGATGGAGGCAGCCCGCATGGATGTCGACACCCAAAGGAGTTGCTGCATTTAAGCGAATGGTGGACGCGATCGTTTACAAGAAACAGTTGAGGCGCATTTCTAAGGGTGTGTGCATGCCTGCATGCCACTTCTCGACGCTCAATGGCCAGCCTGATCGCAGACGTGTACTGATGCTACCGTTCCCAGTCAAAAACAGGCAAACATAGCTAAATTCATTGGACAACATTGTTCAAACTGAAGGGGCTTAGCTAGGGCTGTGAGAGGCTCGAAAATGGAAGATGCGTCGGCCAACTCGACGCCCCAGTCGGGCAGGGACACGTCGCGATGGAAAGCGGGAAATGCAACCTCGATCAAAGCATTGCTCATCAATTAATACTAAGGATACATTATTCTACAGTTCATCATGGTCGTCGAGTGAACTCAGTCAGCTTGGGGGCTTGCAGGTCCAGTTCTCAACATCCTTCGACCCATGCGGCCCTGAACCTCCAAACGAATTCACCAACGGGTACTTGCAATGCCTGCGTTGGAAATCAATACCCAACCCCGCAGTGTCATTCACAAACTTCGTCCCCTTAATCGTTTCCGGACCAACCCCATTCTCAACCCAGTTCACAACAGCAGCAAGGATATTATGCTCCGCGTCAAACGGCAGGTTATCATTCATCGCAGCCGCGCCGCCGCCCTGGCCAACGACCCACGCCCCCGGGCCCGCCGTGCAGTGGAACATGCCCGAGATGCGGAAGTAGCGCACGAACTCGTCCATGCCCTTGTTATCCAGGCCCATGCCCTTCGCCAGGCGGTCGTAGAAAATGGGCGTGTGCAGGCTCGTGATCTGGTTGTCCTGCGTGCCGTGGTACATCAGCAACTTCCCCCCGAGCGCCTTGAACTTTGACAAATCGCTCGGGTTCGTGCGGATGCGGCCCGGGTTCTTCTTGTCGGCGTCGATGCCGTCCGGGTCCAGCTTGTACGTCGCCGGGTCCCACTTGGGGTCGTTCTTGACGGCGAAGCGGAACCAGTTCTCGGACAGCGCGAAGGGCTTGCCGGCGTACAGCCCGTCGGCCGACACCTTCTCGCTGCCGGGGTTCATGCCCGGCCAGAAGAGCGTGCCGTTGGGGTAGTTGGTCGGCGCGAAGATCTTGCGGACGATCTCGACCTGCGGCGCCGTGAGGCAGCCCTGGCCCTTGTCCTTGGCGTCGTCCTTGCACTGGATCTTGGACGGGTCGAAGTGGCAGCGGGACGGGTCCTCGATGATGCCGTCCTCGGCGCCGTCTATGGTGTCGCACTGCTTGAGGACCTCGTCGTGGATGGTGGTCTTCCAGACGGTGGCGTTGATGAAGTCCTTGGAGTCGGCGGCGCCGGTCAGCGGGAAGAAGCCGGCGCGCCAGGAGTAGAGGTTGTTGAAGTCGACGGCGGGGGCGCCGGCGACGATGCCGTCAAAGTCTTCGGGGAACATGTCCGCGGCCTGGATGCCCTGGCGGCCGCCGAGAGAGCAGCCCAGGTAGTAGGACTTCTTGGCGCCGCTCTTGTAGAGGGTTTGCACGAGCTGCTTGCCGGCCTCGACGCCCACGTGGAGCCTGTGTCTTGATTAGCTTACAAGCTGTGAGGAGGGTGGTTCAAAACGTACGCTCGGAATGAGAAGTCCGTCACGACCTCATCGTTGTTGAGGAACTGCACGCCCGAGGTGCCGTCGTGGCCATTGTTGGTGCCCACGGCCGCGAAGCCGTTGGCAGTTGCGTACGCGAGATCCTCATAGTGCACACCTGAGCGCACAGTTAGACAACTGAAGACTTCATATCTCACTCACAACCACTTACATCCGTCCAGACCTCCACCACCCACAGTCACCATGCGTCCATTCCACTTCTCAGGCAGCCAGATCTCCGTCACAACCTCAGACTTGGCCGAAGTCGTGAGGTTCATGGCGATTCGGCACAAGTTCGCCCTGACAACCTGGCTCGCGCGGCCGCAGTTCGCATTCTGCTCGGGAAAGGTGAGATTCGTGCCCGAGGCCACGAACGTCTGCACTCTGACCGTCGAGTTGGTCACGATCGTCTTGGGTGTGAGAGCGAGGCAGTCATCCTGTACTGTCGCGAATGCCGGCGCGGCGAGCGCCGCGGCGGCGACGAGGGCCTTCAGCATGTTGGTTCCAAGGAGTGATGGGTGTCGACGACTAGCGGTTCACCTCTCTCGTCCTGCGGGTGCTGAACAGCAAGTATTTGACTCAAGAAAGCGGAGGGACGGAGGACGTGTCCGCTAATGAACAGCGGTGTGGTTTATTAAACTCGACAATGTTAGCCCGAGCTCATGTGAGGGGTACCCGGTCACGGGCGGGGTAGCTTGAAGAGACGAGGACGGCCGGACTTCGTCCCATGACTGATGTTATAGCCCGAACATCGGGCAGTTCTTGAGACCATGAGACTTGAAGCCAGTTTGAGACGACAAGTAGGGGCATTACTAAGATATTTCGTGATATGCCATAAGAAAGCCAAGCAGCATGATATCGATCGATTGTGTGGCTTTGCCCATTGTCGTAGGAACATGTCAAAGGCTTCACCGTTAAGCTAAAGCCGGGTTGTTTCTCTGTGGAGGACGCTAATTTCCCTGGGGTTCTTGGGGTAAGGTGACTGAAGATCGCAGCGGAGGTGGATGCACTGGGGTTTAGCGCCATTGGCTAGGTTCATCCCTGCATGCAGCTCATGTTTCCCATCAGGAACGGCACTCGAAAAAGCCGAAGGCTGGGTGTGAGCAGGTTGAAGAATGTCTTTGGTCCCTGAAACGAATCGGACCAATCAGCAATCGGCGCGCCGAAACAGGGTCGAATTGTGCAGTAAGTTTTGCACGCGATGTTTGGACCTCTCTGTTGCGCGATAACGGATTGCCACTCGTTTGGATGTTCACCTGTCTTTCGCAAATGAGAATGTCCTGGCGCTCAGGTCTTCGAGGCTGATGTCTCAGTCGCCGGCGACCAGATACGGGATAGCTGTCACAAGACGACAGCTGTTTTGGCTCTGCTTCAGTTGGCCGGTCAGTTTGAGGCTTGCATGCAGATGCAGCCCGTCTGCGCCGTTGGCGTTTTGTCTCTATGCCTGGGTCAATGTGGAATTGCCATCTTAGAGATTCTGTTCGTCTGGTTCAAGGGACTGGGGCAATGTGTGAGTTATGATATTGCATCCAACCGTTGCGAGAAGTGCCGTGTTGCCGAGTGTGAGTGCCAGTCGCTTTTTTACCGGCATACATCCGGGACCCACTCCTCCGTCCCGACACCGCGAGCCGGGGTCGAGTCCGGCAGTTCGCAAGGAAAGCGTAGTACTTGAACAACCACAGAGGAAATAGATGAGATTCGCATATCGCGTTTGCTTTCCCTCAGAGTATAGTATCGCAGGCGAATCCAACTGGAACCCAAACGTTTGACTTCGAGCCATCAATGGCCCCGAATCGGCTAAACCGCCGAGCTACGGTTCTGTCGTACTGCTCTGAGTCCGAAGGCCCCCAGAATTCAAAGAAACGGGCATATTCATACTCAATATTCAACTTGCGCAGGGTTCTAAGGTGGGCAATATAACTCAATTCTCTGCAGGCTCGTGGTGCTTTTTACCTACGAGACGAGGGCAACTACAAATCCCGCCAGGGAAGGAGGAAGTAGTCTTTTTGCCACGGTATCTCTTCTGGAATGAGATTCGCATAATTCGCAGTACAAGATGAGACTAGATGCATCTTTGGTCTGTCATCCTTCCATCGCTTCTCCATGAGGAAATCTCGGAACAATGACCCGTCCGGCACGGAATGCGTGATCTCGGGCCCCTCGTAGCGCAGAATCCATTCGCAAAAGGCTGTCGAATCAAGATCCAGGGGCGGATCTTTAGCGCAGCCCGGCAACACCTGCAACCTCCAGTCTCTTTTCTGCATGACAATCGTTTTCAGCCTTGGGCAGTATTTGGCGAGTTCTTCGCACACCTCGGACATCTGGTTTTCCATGAACCACCACAGTGCGACGTGCTCAATTCTTTCGAGGAACTGCGGCTCAACACCGAACAGAGTCATGAGCCCTGTTTCCCAGTCGTTGAGGTGGAAGAGGACGTTCCCGAAATCCTCCCAGCAGACACCGGAGAGTGGTAGTCGCTTTGGAAAGCCGTGGCCCTTATCATGGAGCTTGTGGAGTACAGACCAGGACTCTCTGTTGGTGGAACCTGCGCGCGGCGACTCGCTGATGCGGGTGAAGAATGAATTCTGCCTTTCTCCCTTAGTAAAGTGTTTTATGTTGGCGAAATACACGGCTGGCGAAGCTGTGAGTGCTTCGACCCATATCATCTCTCGAAGCTCTGGCGGCAACTTCGAAAAGCAGGTGAACGTAGTTAATGTCGACATGCTGGGTATATAAATGCTGAGACTAGATGACAAGACGCGAATTTGGAGATGCTAGGTTTCTCGAGGGTTGAAAAAGTGATGAGTAGGGTCGAGGTACGTGGCTACCTCGATGCCGGTTTTGTTGTGTTGTTTCATGGACCTTGACGGACAGTTCCATAACCCAAACTCAGATGACTAGGGCGAGCATCTGCCCCTCACTCACTGAACCGCCATCTCCCGATCAACATCAACCCAGCTCTTCAAGCTGTTGGTATTCACAAACTCGCTCCGGTCAAGCCGCGACAACGCCCTCGTGAAATCGCGCATGTACTCCGCAGCGCGTCGCGCCGGCCTCTCGTGGGCTTCAAAGGGGCAGTTGAGCAGCGTCACCGCCACATCCCGCACCTTGTATGTCTACCACCCCACCAAAGATTAGCTTTCACCCAGGACGACCATCAAGGTGATGGGGTTCACGTACCAGATACAGCCCATTCGGCTCGAGGTAGACATACGGGATGCTGTGCAACAAGTGCAGCAG